CCCCAAAACCCCAAAACCCCAAAACCCCAAAACCCCATGACGTCCTCACAAGGTTGAGATAACATTAATAATATTTTGATATTAAATATGTGTTAATCTTGGTTACCAAAGTCCCTTTAACCCCCAAAACCTGGTTCCTATGCACTTAAAACACAGTTCAATTTCACTTCTTCATCGGCTCCTTTCCATCCTGCAGCTTAGCTATACATATTAAAAATTGAACTACTTTGGCGGTCAGAAATTCTTTTCTTCGTAGGCGGGGTTTTAGAAGACTCAGAAGATTTTTGAGATTTTTGGGATTTTGAAGAAAGGGAATTTGCGTTGTAGTGAGGGTCTTTTTGGGGGGTTGGGGAGGTGAGAAGGGGGAGAATAGGGGGCTGGGAACAGCTGTTGTGGGAGTGTAAGGCAGGCTGTTTGGTTTCTTCGAGGGCTTCAGATGATAGGGGTTTTGAGAAATGAAGACTTGAGACTGGGAGTTCGGAGTTTTTTGAGTTATTTTGAACAAGAAATGTCATCTGATTGCTTAATCGAGTTAATATCTTGGTTGAGAAATTGGCATTTTGCTAGGATTGTTTTAAAAGTGACTTTGTTCTCACTTTTAAGCATATCAGGCAGCTTTTTATCAATTCTTTTGACCTCCTGTTGAAGGGAAAACCTATTATCTTGAGTTCCAGTTTCTGTAGTTTCTAAATCTTCTTCGACTTCTCCGATATCATCAAGGCCCTCAAGATGTCGAGGGATTGATTCAAGTTTTCTAAGCCTTGGTTCAGACCCACTTGACCTTTCCTTAGTTTCCTCTGTTATTGTAGTTATCGTATTTCCAGACTCTTCTCCATTAAGTTTAACTTCTTCAGTTACTTTTGTACTTTCTGTAAGTCTGCGTGGCTTGACCTGGTAAAAAATCAGGTAGGGGATGACTTTATTTTTCCTTCAGTGATTTACCATCTTCTCGTATCCTCCCAATACCTTATGGTTTTCGTCTTCTCAAGAGTGCCTATAGTGTTATTAAAATGTCCTACCATATACCATTCTCTTGGACAAAGGCCATGTAGTGGAAGCCATAGTAGCCAACAAAACCAAAGAATTCATATTCGTCAGATTCTTGGATAGTTGAAAATGTATTTGAACTTAAAGAAAGATTTGAGCTATCATAGGATGGAATGAAAAGTTCGAATAGATGGAACGAAGGAGGCGGCAGATTGATCATTGCTCTTCTGCTTGGAAAGTCTCAATCAACAGCATTGAAAAATTCGCCATACTGTAGATAAAAAGTTATAATTTTCGGTGGCTCTCTGATTAGGTTCAATGGTTCTTGCTCTATAAAAGTTTCCTCGTCTTTGCAGATATTCTTAATAGCTTCAAGTTCTCATCCTGGTTGGCTTCCTAGGGTATGTTTAGCAATCTTTATTAGCTTATGCTTCAGACTCAGTTTTGGGTTTGTTTTTATGAGTGTGCTTGCAACAGCAATCTCATCTGCAGGAATGGTTAGAAAGAAAGTATGTCTCTCTTTCAATCCTCCAATATTGTCTTCATCCGGAGAAAGATATGACATCTATAAAAAGTATCACTATCATTCGAACAAAACTCATTCTTTTCTACCAATTTAGCTGAAGCAAAACTTTGTAACTTATGAAGGAATTTATCGCTTCAATGGGATAGATAAGAAAATTATTGATAGTGCAACTTGTCGCTATTTCTTCATCGCTTTTATTATTTAGAAATAAGGACCAGAGACCCTAGATCTTAGAAAGAATTCTTGAAGCTAATATCAAAAGACTGTTAATAATTTCCTTTCCAAAATCTTCTTACTTTATAAGTGCTCTGTACTAGCTCGTTCAGGTCAGTTTCTTGAAAAAGTTGATGCAACAACGCGAGGAAGAGTTGTGCGTCACTGGGCTATAAACATTGGAAAATACGATCCTTACCTCCTTTAACCTGAAGCTATTGGGGTAATTAATGCTCATAGTCTCACGGAGGCTGCATAGCTTTTGGATGCTGAAGAATTTGTTATCAGGATTATCATCTTTTTCCTATAACTGAATAGTATTAATAACCTTACCTGATACATTTGGGCATCTTGAAAAGCGTCTCTCATAAGTAGAAGGATTTCTTTGGTAGTTACATTCAAACTCTGTGTGTTATTCAGCATATCTTACTTTCATTTCAGAGGTTATAGTCTGTGCGACTATATAACCAATTATCTACACCAACCACTTACGCTTCTCTAGAGGTTCCCTCATCGATTCCACTCTCATGTACAAATTCATTACAGAGTTAATATAACAGTTATTCTCTCTGTTCGAGTTGTCAAATCTATCACCACATCAGAACGCTCCTAACCCCCCACAAAACCTCCAGATCCAGGCACACAATCAACCTGGAAGCTTAGCCTGGAAGAAAACTGTGAAAAAGCCTACCTGTAGATCTCCATGTTATTATAAAGGATTCAATTTGTTTTAGATAATCTGGGGTTTTGGGGTTTTGGGGTTTTGGGGTTTTGGGGTTTTGGGG